TTTACTCAGCTCAAGCGTGCTTGGCGGTGGTCCCCGCCGCAGCGAAGGGAGGTTACGGCACGAAACGGACACATTACTCATCATTAGTTGTTAATAATTTCGTCACCACCAGTATTAGACTACTACTCCTGTGGGTAGTACAGGCAGTGCGACGGCCCTTCTTGTATACTGCCCTTCCTATATACTGTCTATTTAGCCGGGATGGCCTCTTCCACCTAGACCGGTTCGAAAACGGATGTCAGTACTTTATATTAGACCTCACCTCCATCCTTATATAGTGCCGGTGGGAGGAAATCCAGGCCAGCGGCACGAAAACGATTGAGAGCGCTGATCGCGTTTCGCACCTCAACCTCCAACGGAGGCTCTAAAATAAACGTTCATGGCTCGTCCTGCATCACCTGAGTAGGAAGAGGTTCGGGGACAGGGGGTCAGCTGAGCTGATCTTGAAACTGTTCTGCCAAACGAGCCATACAGCGCTCCTTATTGTGTAGCAGTGCACCCGTGCTGTCTCTGAATGTCTCACCGACGCCCGGTTTCCTGGGACCGGTGGTGCGGAGCAGCTGGAAGAGCTTGCGGTAATTGCATACGGCTTCTGCCTCCTTCATTTCTTGAGCCCGACTGGTCCACCAGGCTTCGTTGAGAGCACGTTGGCTCCGCTTTATTTGGCGCATAAAAGCCCGTCTGGTCACATTGTGCTCAGAGCCAGTCAGAGGTTTCTTCCTGTATTCCAACAGGTTCACCGACCTTTCGGATATCCAGTGACTGGTGAGGTGACGGTTGATAGTACTAATATGAAACAGCCGGTGCTCTTCACAGTCGCAACAGACGCTCGACCATTGTCTGTAGGGTCAGAGTTAAGTCCATGCTTACCACTTAGCACAGCTTCTGAATGGCCTAGAATATTGACTTACGCAACGGCAACGGGACCTGAACTGATAACACTGCGAAGCAGCGTGGTAGGTGTCCTTGACGGCATCAGAGCTGTAGTCAGTAGGGGCATAAGTAGAAAAAATAGACAACCGGCGTCTAGCGCTCTTCGGGAAGCAACTTTAGCTGAAGTCCTCAAAAGGACTGCACACAAACAGCTGCTAATGGGAATCCAATTAAACAACGTTGACTCAGTCTTGAAGCTGAGAATGATGCTCACCCCAGCTTGACCGGTGTTTGACGCATCAGCTGTTCCGGGTCCGTGCAATCAATAGCGAGAGGACAAGCCGGGCGCAGTTAACTCAAAAACCTATAGGGACGCGTCAATAGCGCACATCCATCGATTCCAACAGGACCCGAAATCATGACCACTCGCGACTTGCACCAGTAGTCATCAGACTATGCAATGAATATCTACGCACTTGCCACTCCAACAGTTACAAGTACGACATGCTTCTAGATATTTCGGTCGAAATTACACGTGGCAAATTGGATAATAAGATGTTACGAAATGATGAATTACCAGGAAATAATTACATTTTGAAAACGTATCCAGTTTCTGGACCGTGTTTGGAAATTCATTGTCGAATGGATATAAACGGTTACTTGTGGTATGGCAGCAAAATTAGTACAGGCGTTAGGATTTCTACTACCAATCGAATTATTCTAGACAGAACGCTGCGGTTAGAAATGCGTCTTATCGACAGCACCAACATCGGGCCGACGAAACTCTTGTTAGCGTAGCCATTGTAGATTTTAGAAACCCATCATAACACGTGACCTGTGGACACAGCTGTTTCGGTTCCATTGGTATGGGACAGGCTACCAAAGATATTGATCACATTCACACGCTACTATGCAGACGGATAAGAGCGAAGTCAGTTGACTGGGTTAGTTGGTGAAGTCGGGTTATCCCCACCATCAGAAGCTTTCGTCAAACACTAGTTACGACGCCAAATACTATACGTCATTCATCTTGCCCACCCTAATCACGAGCCTCAAATTTTCGACCTACTTAAGGCCACTGTTATCCAACGAGAAAGACAGAAGTTCCGCGAGCCGAAGCAGGTGAGGCGAATCCGAACCTAAGGTGGTAATGTGGATTAAACAAAGGGGTTAATGACCTTTCATTAATCGATCACACATGACACTAATTTGTCGAAATACTATCGACTGCTCTTTATAATTGATGAGAACACGCGAAATGGCTGATGGTCCAATGGTTTACATTTTCTGGAATTGTCATCTGCAAGTACACAGGAAGTTGCTCAGTTTAGTTTCAACCATATGTTGAAACGGCATCCGCAATTATGAACCTGCTGAAAAATCTGTTGAACTAGCAGCTATAGATCTGATTGGTTAAAATTAGAAAGCAAATGGGTATTGCGTCAATTACAAATGGCTTAGGTCCACTTTTGACATCAAGAACATTGTTGTTAGCAATACATACGACACAGTCGCAGTTGAGATAACCCCCGGTTGGATCTTGGTGCAACTCATCGGAGTACGCTCTAAGAAGCTTTGAATGGACCGTTTGGAATGTGCTGGTGTCGTGCCTTCTTTTTTGTTGGACCGTGACAATGGCATTTATGTGGACGAGAAATTGACGTAGATCCTCTTGTTCAGTGACCGTTTCGCGGTACATCTTAATCTAGTAATCCTCCTTCGTCTATTTGGCATGAATATTGCCAAGGGAAAAGTTTTCAGGCAATTAATCCGGCCGTTCCGGTAACCTGACTAATTGTACCCTACTTGAATAGACTATGATAAAAAAATCGCTGAGGAAGTGTGAGTGTTGGCTGCTAGAATACGTTACTTTTTCTGCGCTCACACACCAGATGCTTATTTTAGCTGATGTTTCGATTACAAACAAAGCAATTGTTTTCCTTGCTTAATCCCGGTAAATTTTGTTATGCTGTCATGCGTCATCCGGCAGCTGCTTGCTCGTCACGCCATTTTGTAGACCAAACTATTACGGATCATTGGCTTGGCATTTTGTTCCTATTCTATTGATGTTCGAACGAATCATACAAAGCATCATTTCGTCGTGCACAGGTCCACTGTCCTGCATGTTAAATTGAACTGCTATGTTCCACATTGCAGGTTTAGCGTTATCCTTTTCTTTGGACTGCTTAAAAACGGATGACAAACTTTTGGATCTTGTTAAGCGCCAGCCCTTGACCCACGTAAAGCTAGGTTACGAACAAAAACGTAATGTGTTCACAGAAAATACTATCTACACTGCTACTACCGGGACGATCGGCACCCACCTGCCTTACACACCACTGATTACCGGCCGAGTGAAACCAGTCAACTATTAACATACCATAGCATTTCAGCCTCTAGGTTTGCACCTATTAAGTGTTTGTCTTTTGAAAGCAATGTCTGCATGTAAAAAACTAAGGTGTATCAAAAACTATATCAAGCAGGAAAGTTTGAAAACCACTTCACGTGCTTGTTTCGGGACAAAAGCATTCATTTGTGATACCATTTTAGCGATTTCTCGGCCCAAATACCGAGCAGGTTACATTTGTTGTGGATTAGTAAGAAATCTTCTTGGATTAACCCTGCATTTCAAGCGACGAGTGGACCATCTACAGCGATATCATTTAGTAAACTAAAACAGCGCTTGAAAGCATGCTATTGGTTAAATATTGTTCCGAATTAATTAAATGGGGGCAACTATAGAAATGTACACAACTCAAGGGAGCCACTGGTGGAATGATTCACCGTAACGATGAGAGCGCCAATATAGTTTTCCATTCTGACGGTAATGTTAACGAACAACACATGGACGTCTCTTGTTTGTCTTCGTTGGGATGAACAGTACCTCTAAACGCGTTATTTATGCCGCAAACAAAATTATGGAATGAAGAGAAGCACTGTGGGAAAATAATAATGTCATGTAGTATGCCCATTTTTATTATATATTGTAAGAAGAAACGCAAGCGGTACGCTTAAAGCGAACAATTGTTTTCGATTTATTCATCATCAGGCTTTGTACAAAAATATACGTTGAGAAGCGGAGTTCATAGGGGAAAATAAAGAGTAACTATTGATTGAACAAAACATTTTAAGTACTTAACGTAACGTGCCAGGTGGTCAGGTGACTGAAGGCATGTGATACCAAGATGCCTGATCAATGTCAATCAATGGTAGTCTACCGGTTTACCTGCTCCTGTGGGGCTAGGTACATTGGGCGCACGACCAGACATCTGGAAAAGCGAATCAAGGAACATTTACCAACGTCACTCGCCACCCAACGAGAAAAAACTCAGTTGAGTGCCATAACCAACCATCTGATCTGCACCAATCATCTGATTGATGAGCGCAAGTCTTTTGAGATCCTCTATCGAGTTCCATCACAGCTACACTATCGGTCAGGAGCTCGGCTACTCGCTACCGCTGAAGCAGTATGTATAAGGTTGACAAAACCAAATCTATGCATTCAGAAGCAACGTGTACAAGCCTTACAACTACCCTGGCCAGCCAGTAATAGAGATGAATCGGACTTCACTCATTGGTATCACACGCCTTCAGTCACCTGACCACCTGGCACGTTACGTTAAGCACTTAAAATGTTTTGTTCAATCAATAGTTACTCTTTATTTTCCCCTATGAACTCCGCTTCTCAACGTATATTTTTGTACAAAGCCTGATGATGAATAAATCGAAAACCATTGTTCGCTTTAAGCGTACCGCTTGCGTTTCTTCTTACAATATAAAATAATAATGTTCTAAGAAAAGGAAATAAGGTTGAATTGATATCGCCGATGTGACCCGTTGGATGCTACGGCCAAATGCTTGACGCTGTTATTTTCTAGGCAAACGTGGTGCAAAAAGAAACACTAACAGAAAGAAAGATAAGCCAAAGATGCTTATCTTCAATCGCGTTACAACACCTTTAGTAGAACAAAAATCTGGAACGAATCAGTTCATATTGGATTAAAGTCATCAAAATAATCATTCAAACGTACGTGTTTGTTTCTAAAGGAATTTGTTGTTCTACCACGCGTTCATTTGAAGGATATCCAGATTATATTAATGCTTTGTACCCGCTTTCTGTTTTCAAGGAGTTCGATCGAAATGGAGATGGTTTCATCGATGTTGAGGAATTGGAATCTACAATGAAAGCAATAGGTGTGGCACTGGACATATCCGAAATTCGCGAGATGATTGAAGAGGCCGATTGCGACGGAGACGGACGTGTCAGCTTCCAAGGCGAGTACCAAACAAAACGAGAGGTGTAGATTGGTGTACTCTGTGCACAACAGTGGCGCTTATTGTGACTTTTATTGATCCGTTTGCGTTGCCTTAGTAGTCTGATGGAACAGCTCTGTACTTGCTCCGCTATCTGACTCACAAATGATGATGAAAACAGTTGGATAATTGCTAAGCTTGCTTAATATCATAAGCGTTACTTGTTACAGATTTTAGTAATTGCACAAACGCTCTTTGCAGTGTCCTTCTCAGAGTCCTCTTCCCATAGTGTCCATACGAATCATCCATTACACCGAGTGATGGTGTTACGTAGGTTTAATGGCTAAAGCAGCGACTACATCGAATTTTGTTTACTTAGCAAGTCTCAGTCAATCATAACATTAAATTTACCTTGGGACAAGTGCCACAGTTCATCTGCATTTCGGAAACTTCAACTTGTTAACTAAGGCTGAGCAGACTGTAGCTTTCAAAGATAGTCGTTGTGAGCTAGTGTAGCCTGCGGTGAGTGATCTGAATTCTGATTCCCATACCAGCATTTACTTCCAGTAGGCGGCATTTTGTGTCATCGAATATGGCTTCCCAAGGGCAATCTTTTTGTCCGCTTTTGTGATCAGGCCATTAGTAGGCTGATCGACAATTATATACGCAACTTCGCATATTAAACATACCTCAATGACGAACGCACATTAACAGGGACCATGCGCAAAAGTCAAGTCAGCCCAGACTATTTTATTGACACAAATTTGTTCAATTTCAACATTTACAATATCTGTGCCGGTGTAGGGAAACATCATATCAATAAAAATATCTCCCTGTGGAACGGACGAAAACCTCGTACCCAAATGTCACTTTAACGACTGCTTGAGCAACTGGTTTTTGGTTTTTGTTGGGTCGCCAAGCGAACGTGACAGGTAAAGGAACATATTTGCACAATATGATGATGTGAGGGAACGAAACTGTATATTTTAATCGCGCATGCTAAAAGGCCGTAGGTTTTGAGGAGTCTTGTGCAGTAGATGAAATCAGTCAGTTAAGACCATGAACGGCATCAAGATACGACCAGCAAAATTCATAGAAAGTAGCAAATAAGCAAAAAGTCTTTACAGAAACGGATAAATGTTAATTCACATTGTGGGTTATTTTGATGTATGAGCTTGTTCCTCGTAAGAATAAGTATTAATCCTTCTGATGTATTTCAGTTTAGGTGACGGAAGAACTGTATACCTGAGGTGGGAGAATGTACGAAGCTGCAAAATCAAATCTTAAACTACGTGACACTGAGTGTAGCTCAAGCCTGAGATTAGGATCATGCATAGGGGACATTACTCCCCATCGATTACACACGTGTACTACACCTTCGAATGCGAACTAGATCTGTACACATACAACGTCTACAATCAGTTTTAGCCTTAAAACTAAAGCAATAACAGTAGTATTGTATATTGTCGGACAAATTATAATTGGAAATGTAATAAATTTACAGTTTATAAGCAAACATTTTAAATACCGCCCTGCAACTCAGTGAAATCTACAAGTTTTAGAATAAATATGTGCACACACTTTTCTACTGGCCGTATCATTCTCCTTCAGATCAAAAATCAAGTATAGAATTCTGTTACATGGCAATTGAAATAAACTGTGAATAAGCATGTCAGTGCGTCCGCTACTTAGTGCGTAGGAGCGCAAAAATCATCACCTTATGTGACTATGAATGTATACATTACCAGATCGTCCGTAGTATCCTGTTCCTTCCCGTTGTCTTATTCCCTTCCATTTCGTCAGCTGTTGGAATTAAATGGTCATAAAAGTCTGTTTACTTCTGTTGCGGCGCGACTTTGAAGTTAGAACCAGCCATGTAAACATCACTCAGTTGGTATGTATACAATTCTTTTGAGACATTATTCTATGTAGTAGAGATTGCAATCTATACCATATACTCGCCTGCCTCGGTACAGTTTACATCAGTGCCTCAGAATCTGTCTACTGGACAAGGAAACCTTACTTTATAACAAAGTTAGGGAGAGTTAAGTTCTCTACCTTCCATCAGGCAACGATCCAGAACACGACGTCCAATAAATTTTTTCGTTCCTTGAGTTCAGTTTATGACATCTTCATGCGATTTCATGGTAATAAGATATGATAATACTTTAACTGCTTGAATCACACCCTGGTCCTGGTGCTGAACTACCGCAGTGGCGTTAGGTGACAGGAACTACAGTTTGTCATTCATTAGCTGGATTCTGGGATTCCAAATGACATCTTTATGTTAAAGCTTTTAAGCTAATTAAAAATAACCGAAATCATCCATGCCTTTTTATTATTTTTATAAAGTACCGGTAGATTTTTGTGTTTATGTTTAAAAAAAGCAATGGTTAGCTGAGTTTCCCAATCACTAAGGCCGGTTGTCGCTCCCTCAACATGTTGATGCACAGCATAACTGTGATTTACTCTTCTCTTATTTTTCCACCTGCGCATTTTAAGCTTCGGACAAAAATCTTTTGTCCGACGTCGCTTTGAACAACAACCCATTTGCATGTAAATTAAAAATGTTTTGAGCTGCGTAACCAAAATATATTTCGGGTAATTTTGTTGTCCACTCTGATGTAGCACACATATCTGACACTATTTTGCCAGATCGCTTACCAAACACAAGTTTGTGTCTATTGATGAAAACCTGCAGCCAACCGTTAAAAGCTTTAGAGACTGAGTTTTTAAACTTTTTGTAAAATTCAAAGCTCGTGCTAGAATTAATGATCTAGATAATGGGGTCTCTCATGCGAGTGCAGACTGGCACCATTTCCCTTTTTCTGCTATCTTTTTTCAGCCTTGGTGCGTTGTTTTAATGTTATTTAAAACTCAGCTTACCTCGCTATATGTCCAAGGATTATAGTCTTTCCTAATCCGAAATGTTCCACCAATGTTCGCAGACATAATGCTTCCTGATTTTGTCGATTCACTGATCTTTTTCCTCTAGTGTTAATGCGACTGTCTTTGGAAATGTAGAATTAGCCAGTTTTTCTCTCGTCAGACTCTACAACCAGAAAATGTTCCACTTCATTTGGATATAGAAAGTTGTAGTTTCTATGGATTTCCTGGGATTCATCCGGACCGAATACTCACATGGCTAGATAATGGCATAGCCACTCCATATTTTCCAGGGAAGTACCGATAAGGTGTACTTATTGGACAGAACGCAGACACATTAAACACCCATTTACACGTGAGGACAGTTACTTTGTCATTGCATTGCTTGTCGCTATTCTCGGTACTCAGACAAGATAAGCAGAACGAGTGGCTAATTATGACACCTTACGAAGAAATCGTAGCCAGTCATGACATGGGTTGACTCCTTTTACAGCTGTTAAAACGTCTGAGGACCACAAAAACGTGGTCGCGGTTGCGCTACACAGGTTAGGACCATTGAAAAAACATTGAAAATACGTTGAGGATCGTTTTTAACAGGTCCCCTTAGACACATGGTCCCCATAGCAGGTTTGACTTGAATGAGAATGTAAATTGCACAGTTTTCTAAATATATTGCATCGTTAACAATACCAGTCTTAGCTTGTAAGTCCTTGATTTTTAGTATAATCATGCACCTGTTCAGCTCAAGCAGCCGAAGACCTGCAGATGCGTGATCCGTTTGGCTGCTTTTGGCAAAGTGTATGCAGCAAAATTGTCAAACTCAGGGAACAATTCGTCCAACAAAATTCACACTGAACTCATCTTAGTACATGTTCTTTCTTCCAGGGAGTTAGAGTCATATCGGTTTATATTTGTAACCGGCTCCCCAGTCACACTCGAATTGGTAGGTACAGTGTGAGTTGATCCCGAGAGACTGAGTCTTGTTCTTTGGAGATACAGGCGAATGTTGGGTTCGCTTATTAACAACAAGTTGTGTAGCATAGTACCTTCCATGCGTAGTCAAGAGTATGTGCGTAGTCGTGGTAAAAGCACTCGATATAAGCATTCTTTTTGGCTGTCGTGTGCACAGATCCTTCGGCCATCGCAGTTGTCTGTTTTACAATAAATCTTCTGGGGTGGAAGTCTGCCAAAATTGTTGTCACAATTTACGTTGGCTCACTGACCAGACTGTAGGCTGGACAAACTCTTCTACCACGAATAACTAACTACGGTCTTCAAAATTGTTCTCGTGTATGGTAATGATATAAAGTTAGGCTATCTCAGTAGAAATGCATCTCCCAATGATCAAGAGGAAAAAATCGTCCATTAGAAAACTTGGTGGGATACCCTTTGTTACGCCATCCTTCTGGTTATAAGGCGTGTTCCGGAAAAATGTCGGCATTCTCCCTACACAATAACAGGTATTCTCTCAGCAATTCAGCCGAAATTGATTAGGAACAGCCAGAGTTTTCAGCTAATTCGCGTAGGTAATCAACCGTCTGATGTGGCAGGTCGATGGCTAATGAATCCTCTAAATTCAGCTTGGTTTTATTCCTTTCATCAATGAGTTGAACCGAGTCCTTAAGACTGCACGGATTGTCAGGTTGTCACAGCATATAAAGCATCATCACTATCCAACGGGCCAGTCTAGGTTGAGGCGCGTTTATCATTGAAAAGGATCGACCTAAGTGGTCCTCCACTCTCATGTACCTTCAGTGGCTCATATTACTGTCGACTAGTCTTACCAGTCGGTGTCAACATATTAAAAGTTCCGCGGTCTCCCATGCGATGTAGAAGAGAAGCAGTAAAAACTGACAAACTATGCATGTTTCGACATCGGCTATTCCCCTACGTTCTTGAGCCGTTCGAATCTACTCGCATCATTGTGTATGGCACATATTTTCTGACCGTATTCTGCTTTATTCATAATTAACACCCTGAAATCCTTATCTGGTTTCATTACGACCACGTATGTATCTCGTGGTTTACATAAGACCTGCAAATATCGAGTAGTGCTAACACAGTTTTCTTTAACTGACGCTGTTTTGACCTCGTGAGCGCTACCGGTAATATGGTTTCTGAACCAAGTCAGCTTATCAGGACCGATTGGTTAAAGCACCCTTAACTGACCTCAGACTTGTCTGCTTACGTCCCATGTGGACTATGTCTATGTTCATTAGTGGTAACGATGAGATGATAAAATATAACATGTCAGTACTTACAAATAATGTCAGCATTTTGTCAACTTTTGGAAATCCATCAGAGAATGTTCCACCCCATTTATCTTTACTTAAACAACGATGGTCAAACTTCTTCATGAAAGAAAAAATGCGGGTCGCAACGAGGTCAGTAGTTTCAGCGATCCTAGTATATCGTATCCTCGTCCAGTGTTGAGTTAAATGTTCCAATCAGCAAGGGTTTATCAATGTTACAAAAAACAATAGTCTACCTTTATCTATATATGTATTCCAATAGTCTGCTTAGTCTTCTTTTATCAGTTGCTTGCATCCATATGTTCGGAAAGAGGTTGGCTAGTTTGTTTGTTTCTCATTTGATCAGTTCTAGATACATAATTCAGAATTCGCATAAAAATTTGCTGCCCACAATGTTGCTAGCATGTAACGGGCTACCATGTTAAAAGCAGAAATTTGCACGCCCTTCCAACTTATCTAGATTATTGTATTTGAGCCGCCAATATTTTGTAAAAATTTAAAAACCCAAGGACAGCTGGTTTCTCTCGGTTCACTTATAGTCAGATAACATATTTTCGGTTAGTTTTCCTGCACTACAGATCGAGAAGAGTAAAACTGACACACAGTAAGGATTACAAGGAATCGTTTAATTAAATTTTAATACCCTTTAAGTCATGATAACCTCGGTTGTAACATACTGTGTTATAATTGCAAGGTGAAGGACAGGTTTCTTTAGCACCATTTGCACATGTACTGGGGTGGAAGCGGTGAAAAATGAATGCAGTCTGCGACGGATAGTTTTACACCATAAACCCAATGGAAACAGAAACGGTTGCATATGGGGAAATGTTCAGGTACCGGTATTATCGAAAGCGATGACGATTTGGTGCGTAAATTTTGCTGAGGTGAGCTGGTCAATACTGGAGACAAGCAAGATCACGCTCCATACGGTTCTTCTTATGGGCCAAAGCAAATTTATTTCACTAGCGTGGTTTGATGTATTCCTAAGCTAAAAGAACTTACGGATAATTCATCATCGACTTGCTAGTACAACAGCTGTTACTAAGGCTGCAGTAATCTTGCAGAAGACTAAGGTTGCACTATTATTATAATTATCACATAATGCGTTCCCTTCCACTCGTTTCTTTTCACAACGAGTTTATGTTTGACTGTTGCAAGTCGTCGAAGACTTGTGATAGACTTTTTCCCACCGATAATGTACATCATTGTAAGTGCGTCGTATGGTTTTGACCATTCAACCAGGGTTTCCCTGGGTTCTCGTCGCTCAGTTATAATGCTGTCAAGGAGGTGTTTCCTCATGTTCGATCACCATTACTTCTCTCTTTAAGCGTTAATTATTTCTGGTCAGACACATGGATACGCACTGATGGAAGGGCACCACTTCATCCTCCGGAACACATCGTTATCATCACTTTAGTCTGCTTTTACAGCGGAATTTGCGTGTTGTGCAATCACGCTCACAAACATGAGATAAAGAAAACTTAAATAATGAGCCTTTAACTGAGCTTGCACTAGAGAATACCGAATAATTTTTTCGTCTATGTGATGGATGGGTTACGGTGGAATGTTCCGTAGGGGGAAACATTGTCGTCAGCGATAGTTACACCAAATGCGCCTAATGCAAACCAATGCATTGCTGTCCTGTTTATTGAACAACGCTTCATGAAATTTACTGATGGCTGTTCCATGTTCTCACTCCCGCTATCTTCTGCATTATAAATTTGCAGAATTCGTCCAAATCCTGCAACCATGAACGGGATTCAAAGTGAGTTGACACTTGTTTTCATCAACATTGCATGGTATTAGTCAACTCAAGTCAAGAATGTGCTTCATACGCCCTTGAAGGGTGAATATTCAGCTCCAACATAAGTGCCACGGAATGGGTTAAATAATGCAAAGGGATAGTACATGTAGATAAATATGAAACCAAAATTGTTAAAAAAATTTAGCGCAGCAAATATCACTTGTCTGTTAATCAGTTCTAAAATGACTAAATTTTTACCGTTCAAAAAACGTGACAGGAAAGCGTCTGCAGATATACCATACGCTCTTGTGTGGGCGTATATACTTTTGTAGATCTATATGGTCGTGGAATAGGTTGATAAGCATACGGACAATGCTCTGTGCATTGAATGGCTAAAATCTGGGAGTACTTTAGACGCATACCTTTTAGAGAAGTTGTTATGGATGGCGGCAATGATATTGACTATTTCGATCCTTGAAATTCCACTACACTGGGATAGTTACTTCACTGAGCTGGCAATTGCTTTAGGGTCCTTCCTCTGGAGATCAGGAAAGATAAGTGTAGAGCAATAGCTCCAGTAGGGTAACCCACTTGCAGTGGTAAAACGCTGAAACAAAGATCCGGCTACCGAAGGAAACCTGCAACCTGCAACATAGAATAAGTCCTCTAACTTTAGCGAATATTTCATTCACGTGGCAGGACCACATAAGCCCACTCCTCAGCCTCACTCCAAAGTATTTTACTGAAGTGGAAGTGGTCAAGTATTCACCGTCAATGAAAAGTTGTGGACACTGGGTCAGGATTTGCTGGCAGCGATTCATTTTGAACAGCGTAAAAAGGACATCCTTGCATTTTGGGGTGCTTAACGGTAGGCAACGGGATTTGGAACAAACTGAGGTTTGCAGTTTGGCCGAAGGCTCTGTGTTTGGATGATGAAGGCCGTGGATTACATCGTGGCATACGTCAGCAAGATGGCTTCTTCAGGGAGCGGGATTAAGGTTACGTAAGTGAAAAACAAGAATGAGACAAAATGGCTCCTTGAAGAATACCAGCGTTAGTGGCGATTGAATAAGTTTTTCCGATTAACCTGGTAAATTGGGTACGGCTGACAAAATAATCTTTCAACTGAAGAACAACAGAAGTTTAGAAGCCGGAAATTAATAAATTGTGCAACAGTACACAGTTTACACAACCAAATGCTTTGGTAAAATCCAGGAAGCCGATGCGGATGGATTTGTTTTTATTATCCAGTACAGTATGCACCAAACATGCTACCTCATCTTAAGTGGACCTTAAGCTGCGATATGCAAACTGATATGGGTCATCCAAATTGGTCTGTGTTGAGATCCTTTTAAGGATAAGCCTCTCAAATGTCTTAAGAGTAATCGACGTGCATGCGATCGGCCGATATTTGCAGGTTCGTTTCTTTGGCACTGTCATGGTGCTTGCGTTTCGCCAAATGTCAGCTATCTTGTGCTGCTTGAAGCACCGCGTGTAAAAGTCGGCAAGGGTCTCCGCCAGTTAATTTGCACAATCCTTGAGAATCACAGCAGACAACGTAGTCAGACCAGGTGCTTTGTTCATCTGCAGCCCTAGTAATATTTTGCGCACTTCTAGGCTGTTCGCAGAACGAGGGTTATCTAAGGCTAGTTTTAACCCAGCAGAGGACCTATCAAAGGATGAAGTACTATTCTTGTTACAAAAAGCATGGAAAGAAGAGGAAGGCTGCAAGATGCATGCGTTTCGTATTGTCTCCTCAGTACCATTAACACTATTATTACTTGTACGGAGGAAACAAAACGAAATGCATGCATCTACCGACCTTCGTCTTCTTTCCGTGCTTTTCAAATTGTTGTAGGGAACTAAATGCTTTAAACAAAAATCATGGTTTACTTTTTCCACATCCGGAGTTGAATGTGTAACCTCGCGGGTGACCCCGCTTAACTGTTTTAACATTTGTCATGTTTTACGATAATTATTTTTTCCAAGTATGGCTTGAACGTAGATATCTTTGCGTCGACCCATTCTGATTTTTATCTCAGCAGATAGAGACTTTACTGATGTAACGTCTTTGCGTTTAAAAGCCTTTTCATTAAGTCTACGCAGTCGTTTGTGATGTTGAGAGTAGAATCTGTGGGCACGGATAAAAATTGTTTCAATTTAACAACAGGTGTCGAAGCAGAAGTTTAAGTTACTAGTCAACTGGTCACAAAACTTCCATACGTCCGCATCGTAAAATAAACTAAACTCAGTAGAGCCAATTGCTTCACACAGTCGCTGAATGTTCTGGAGAAGCCACTGTCTCCGCCTGAACTTTCCATCTTTGCAACGGGTGCAATCTTTACGGTTCGTCATGCTATAGAGAATGAGAAATAGCTTTAGGATGGCATGATCAGAGCTCCCATGCGGGTGCCCAACTACAAAGAGAAAATGCTTTCAGGTTGTTAACAAAGATCATGGGCACTATTGCATCTGACTTGGTTGGCGATTGCACATTTTTCATTAGCCCGTGGCTCGCAATGAAGCTGGTGTCAGATCTGTTAAAATCACCGGCATCTTTGCACTCTGAGAGTACCAGGTATTCGTGCAGCACAGCTGTACATCATCCGTAAAATTCTTTATTTTCGTGGTTTGTACAGCCCGGAGAGTTAAAAACAGCGAATATAATCGAACTATAACCGTTCAGCAGTCTTGGTTTACATTTAGGATTAAACAGCTGGTGCGTTACGAACTGTATTGAAAATACTTTTAATCAATGGGCACCATGAAGAGTCATTGTAAATGATGATGCCACCTCCGCGGTTCCTCTGTGTATGCTGGTGGTCCACTTGTAAAGAGTTATATCCGTCGAGTTCCACAACTGAATCTTCAACATCAGCGAGAAGCTAGGTTTCCTGCATCATAATGATATCCAAATGAGGATATTCTCCAAGTTTTTATAACACTATTGAGATCTTTTAGTTTTCAGAGCAGCGACCGCACATTAGCACTGAGTTCAACAGGTAGGCTCATACTTTCGATACGTTTCTAAGTGCAACCCGCTATCCTGCACGGCGCGTTCCTTTGCCACTTTTTGATTCTTTATTTTGTTTCGTATAGCCGGACCATGATAGTGTTTTCAATACATCTGCGTAAAAGCCCGCGATAATTTCAAAGTGCCGCGAGTGTAAGCGAGCTGGCCCATGATTACAGAACAAAAAATTGAAAAATTAAAACGAACGGTTTTTTATACAGTGCGAAAAAGCTTTGGATAGCAATTATAGATCACGGTCAAAGTTGAAGTCCGCACACTTGCTTTATTTGACATACGGTGTTCATTACCTAGGAGAAAGGAGCAACAGCTAGTTAGTAGCCATATTGCGCAACTATGTTTATATGTAACGTGTTTTAGCCACTGGTTAGATGGGAAATTTTGAAAGGCGCATTGTTTGAATTTATCATGAAGCAAAATCTCAGACTGCACCGCGGTTACCATTGAAGTACGAGACCAGTTGTGGTGTGCCGTGCTTTTTGGCTGACCAACACCGGACATTCCTTTGCTGTAGATGAGGTCACGAGTGAGATTGCGTGTCCCAATTCATTCAGGTAATGCGTGACAAAATATAAACCTTCATTCAACATTCAACAATTTTGAGAACCGCCCATCTGTAACCTGTCGCCTAAAATGTAGAGAGTTTGATTGTCATCCCAGTGGTTTCGGTTCCGATACCTCTTCTCTCCATTTGATGAGAGGAAATATGATTGAAAGGAATCCTAGCGTGCAGTTTTTTCGAGCGAGCATCACCCAATTTCCATCTTTTTCAGCTGCGGTCCTCTTGATCGAATGACAAGAGTTCACCTCAATGGGAAGCGCGGTCAACGTTGAGAATACATGTTGCAATCCATTTACACAACGTGTATCTCAAAATGACCCATCAAACAGTCATCAACTGTTGTGTCAGGCGTTACCCGTCATGACCCGGTGGCCTGGGGGATGGGGTTTTAGAAAGCATGTCACATTTCCAGGGTTCGAATCAGTTTTTTTTATCTTTATCTCTTGGGCGCCAAGGCGTAGGTAACCGATCACGAGGTCCAGTGCTGGGAGTAGGCAACAAACAATTTTCATGTTTTGGTCCCCTTTATCAAGTTGTTTAACCGAAAACATGGTGTGCCTGTAACTGATTATCGATTTTATCAATAGAGAACAACAAGTAGCGCTGTCCACTTGGCTATTCGATCGCATCAATATGCAGCCGCGTTTCTACCAGTGAGCATAGAAAGTGTGCTGCATATATAGCAGACTGTCCGACTTAGTTTGAATATTTATGGGCCTGCATACACAGTCGTTTTAAATCTTAGAACCATTATACGCCTACATACTACAGTGCCTTAGAAGAGGGATTCTTTTTATCGCTGGATAACTGAGTAAGACGGCATGCTTTCTGCGCGTCCCCAATTCACGCAGATTTCATATGCAATTTATTAACTGACGGTAGTCACAAATGAAGAATTCAATATGTCCGCTTTCTTTCAAGTTATAATCCTAACCGCACCACTAATTCCACTGGGCATCAAACTACCTGAAGTACGTGGAGTACAAATTGTATTCTTCCCTACTCGGCAGCGAGTAATTGAGCAGTAGCGACAAAATGCAAGACTACCACATGTCGCTTGAAGCTAGTTACTCATCGAAATATCTATCAACATGTTTCTGTGTATGAATCTTGACTTTATGTACCCCGAATGCACAGTCCCTGCAGAGAGGGTCACCGTATCCATGGTTCACCTCCATAGTGGGTCATAAGGTTGGAAATGTTCACAGGTGCAAATCAATTCTACCGGACAAATAAACTCCGACAAATTGCAGCGCGCTGAGAATTATAGGCACCCATTACAAATCTGGTGAAACCACCGCTGTCATTACAAACTTGGTACGACTGTATGTAACAAAAATTATTCAAATGTTATATCTGTGGCTCTCTAGACCCGGTTCCCGGTATTTCAATCATTTACTGTTTCGGGTAGACGAATT